GAGGAGGAGGAAGAGGAGGAGGAATAGGAGGAGGAAGAGGAGGAGGAAGAGGAGGACGAGCGGGCCAACGGGCAGACGGCGGGTTGCCGGGCCGTCGTGGGCGCCGTTTTTTCCATGTCATAAGCAGCTTTGTCTTCTCGTCAGTGGTTTCGGCTCGGGCCGGCTCTCGGGCTCGAGCCCGCGGCTCGTCAGCGAATGGAAGCCACAGGCGTAGAGCCCGATAACCGTCTGAGACGGGGAGGGCTGGGGGCCGGGCTGGGCCGGGCTGGGCCGCCAGGGCTTCCGCGCGCTCCGTCAGATTACCACTAATTTCATTGGCTCCCACTCCGCGGTTTCCTGGCCAATCCCGCTTCCTTTTCCTTCAGGCACGCAGTTGTAGTCGTCCTCGAGGGGGAAATCACTTGCGAAATAGTTCGTACACCTTCCCCCGAAATAGTCCGAAATAAAGGCGAAATAGAGGCGAAATAGAGCGAAATAGAGCGAAATAAAGACGAAATAGACGCGAAATAGTCGGTGAAATAGTCGCGAAATACCCCTGAAATACTCCGAAATAAAGCGAAATAGCCTGAAATAATCCGAAATAGGCGGGAAATAGCCGAAATGGCAGGAGAAATAACCGAAATGGTAGGAGAAATACTACGAAATAGTCCGTACGCTTCGAACCCTAGTGATTTCCCCCTCGGTCGTCCTCCTGATCCCCCCCACCCAGCCCCCTGCTCTCGCGGGGCTTGGGCAATCAAAAATGGGGGTGGGGCTGAGCAGTCGCACCCTCGCGGCCGAGCTAAACGAGCGAGCCTTCAGAGGGAAATAAAAAGTATATACACTCAAAAAAGGGGACGGTGCGGGACATATTTCAATTAAATACTGAGAACATTATCTGACGTCGTGGGGCGCGGATTATAAACTTCGCGAGCTCATTTTAGTATTTAATCTCATAGGATCAGACAGCGGCATGATGGCCTGTGAGCAGTTGCAAAGGGGGCTGGTCCTGAGGGGTGAGAGGATACGACGGTGGGGAGGGGGAGAAGATGGAGTTTGAGGGAGCAACTGGCGGGGCGCGGGATGGGTGGTAGGCGGGTAGGGAAGTTAGCTGCTGGGCGGTCGTAGGCGGTGAAATAATGCCCCAGATTAAACAGTGCAACTCTATCGCCCGCCCACCTCGCCGGCGTGCGTTTCACCGTGTCAGAATGGTGAATGCCGTCTCTCGGCAGTCTCTCTCTAACTCACTCACTCACTCACTCACTCACTCACTCACTCTCTCTCTCTCTCTCACTCACTCTCCTCCTGACGCCTATCGCTCCATCGGGCGAGGCGCGAGGTGGTAGACAGAGACCGTCGGGCGGACGGAGGGTAAACGGAGAGCCACACAGACGGAGACGCCCCGCAACTCAACTCCATTCATCCCCTTCCCTGACCTGACTTGCGTCTTCAAGGACTCCATCTAACTCGGATCTCCCCTCCGCCGTCCTTGTTCTATTTAAGCCCCACTCAGACTCACCTGAGCCCCTCCCCACCCCTCCAGCTCCCTTCACCTCCGCGCGCATATTCGCTACGGTTGGCCTCGAGCTATGGCGCGTCCACTTTTGCACAGTCGCCTTCCCCCCCCCCCCACTCCTCCTCCTCTTGCGCAAGAGATCGTCGTCGCAACCGACGTAACACTCGCTCGAACATGGTGTTTACAGACCCGACCGCAGCCTGCAGAGGGCTTCTTGCGTCCTTTGATAACTTTGACATGTTTGTTTACCTAATGCGCAAATTTAATAAAGTCAGGCTTCAGGAAGTAACACCCATAATACATCATTCTTGGCTTGATTTTTCAAGATGATTTTCCTAACTCGAAGAAACTTTTTCCTTGATTCGAGAAAATTGGCTTCAATAAACCAACAATAGCGAAAACAAGACGTGAGTATCGTTTTTAATACAGAAATTTGAATCAAAAGTGATATGCAAATTACTGCGTAAAAACGATACAGAATTTTGTATTGTTTTAGAGTGTGCCTTGAATAAAGAATGCATTTTTTCTGGGTGATATCTATAAGTTGAGTGCCAGAATGATGACACTTTGGGAAGGCGTAGGTCATATATTTATTTTCTTCCCCTCTGAGCTGAACTGTCTACACACTGCACCACGAGCCTGCAGACCCATACACACGGCGTGGCAACGTTCTCCACAATAACGTGTCCAATTACCAGCAGAGGGGGTGTGGCGGTGGCGTGGTGGGGCACAGGTGAAAGGCACGTATGTATGGAAATTGGACGCTGGGCGAACATCTCCCCTCTCTCTTTTGGCTCCCTCTATGGCTCGTGTTCGAAGCGAATCCACCGCCACCACGCTCCGTTCCGTCTGCACGTGGTGCAAATCAGCACGTTGGTTTATTTTTTTCTTTTTCAAGGTTTTTCCCCCCCCTCGGGCCCGTAGCCAATCCCATAGTCCCAGTCCAGACTCCAGCGGCTCTGGGGG